TCCGCGCGTAGTCGCTGCAAGTCTCTCCTTCGAGGCAAAACATGCTCTCTCTCTCTCTCTCTCTCTCTCTCTGCCTCTTGCTGGCTCCCCCCACCCTCTTTGTTGTTGCCCCAAACGTAGACACACACACACACTCACTCACTCCCCACAGCTTTCATTCCTCCTGTGCTCCAGCCCAGATAAAATCCTCTGAATCAGGGGATGTGTGGAACGGGTAGCTCTGCAGAGCCCCTCAGATCTAGCAGTGTGTTTTCGTGGCTGGGGGTGGGCTTAGGTGAGATGAGGAAGGAGGGGTGTTTGCCCATTGGGTGTTTGTGGAAGGAGGTGGTCCTCAGAGATGTATGTGTGTGTACTATGCAGATGACAGGCAAAGCGGTGAAGACCCGGGACCGTGAAAATATTTTAATTGCTTTTAAAATCCGAAGAAAGAAAAAAGAACTTCTAGGTTGAAAAAAATATTTGAACACATCACTATATTATTTTTATAGCACTGCACTCATGAAATGTAATTTTAAAATTACGGAGAAAGAGTCTTATCAGGCAAAAGCACCTTAGGCCTGCAAAAGTCCCAAGTTGGACCTGAAAGGATTTTACTGGGGTAAGGCTATGTGGATTTAGGGGTGGCTGAGAAGGATAGGGGTACCCCCAAACTACATGTGTGAGGTTTCACAGATCGTCCAGGCTGAGGAGAGTGAGGGACCTGGAGTCCCCATAGTCTGGCTTTCTGCGTGCTTCCGAAGGTCTGGGGGCAGATTTGACACTGTGTACTATAGCAAGGGGAGGGTGAACCTCTGTAGTGGTTAAAGATGGAGGATTTTACGTGTTCCACGGGATACAAGGATGTGTGGTGAATGCAAGAGAGCCTGGGGAGAAAGTGTGGCCATTTGTAGGGTAGTGTGAGGCAGTGGGAATAGAGGACTGTGAACCACCAGTATCAGCATGTACATGCCCAAATATCCATAGAACCCGATCTCTAATAGCTGGGAGCCATGGTGCTCTCAATTCCTCCCTGCCCCGAAGACCCTGAAGAAGCTAACTCCCTGGGACAACCAACTCCTCCCTCCATCTCCTAGTTCTGTCTAGCTCACAATGCGTTTCCAGATTATCTTTGCTGTTCCCAGTGCCCATCCCATTTCTCCATTGCATTCCCACTTCTGCTCCTCATATATCCTCGGGGGAAGCAGGGAGGGTTTCTCCCAACTTCAATACCTCTTACACCCTTATCCCACCCTGTCCCCTTGCTTTGTCTAGCCCGGACACGCCATGTGAGGACCCGCAGTGCCAGCGCGCCACCTCGTGGTTGCTCCTGGGTTCTGCAGCCTCTTTAAACCCACCGTCTTGCCAGCCCCCAGAGAGGAGAGGGGCTCCTGCGTAGTTTCTAGGGGACTCTGAGCCCCTTTCCAATGTTATACCCGGTGCAGGCCGCTGAGCCTGGAAGGACTTAGGCTTGGAGAGCAACAGTTAGTGGAGCGGCGGACCTGGGTCGGGCGCAGGGGCAGGAGTGGCTGCCCGGCTGGCCTGGGCCGCTCTGGGAGGCCGCCGCGTGGGAAAGGTGGGGGCGGGGGCGGGCGAGGGGAGCGCTATCTGTCTGTCTATCTGCGCGTCCCCCCAGCGCCTATCGCCCGCCGCTGCGAGCTCGTGGCGGGGCGAGTTGCCACCCGCTCTGGATGCCCTCTGTTCTGCTGCCAAGAGGGCGCCCGGGGCGTTGGGGGCAGGAAGGGCACTGGGCGGCCGGTTCCCTCCCAGGATGCGAGTGGGGGCGGCACGCAGGGCCTGCTTCGGAGCCCCCAGCTGCCCACAGGGAAGGGACAGTGTGGCAAGCTCTGCCTCGGAGTTTGTTCATCCATCCAGCTGAGTGGCGACAGTGATTCAAAGAAGCTTCAGTTTCTCTCCTCCCCACTCGACCCGTGGCTTCTCCAATGTGAATGAGTTCGGGAGCCTGGTGGTAGTAATGGATTATCTTAGAATAATTTCTAAGGTCTAGTGTACTCCGTTCTAAATTCTTAAGAGTTCTAGAAATGGACTGAAATTGCAACATCAGCAGCTTAAAGGAGTATTTAAACAATTGTTTGGTACTGTGTGGTAAACATCTGTCCCCCATTGCCTGGTAGGGTCTGTCTCTCCCATCCACTACTATCCTCCAGATACCGAGGATGGGCCTTGGGAGGTGTTTGTTGAGTGACTAAATGAGAAGAGCTGAATCACCTTGGCACTATTTAGTGAGCTGAGGCATGCTTGGTTAGAGGCCTGAAAACGGCACAGGACTCCAGGGCAGCCACAGGAGCAATGACTCAGACGGACCCTGAGTTGTCCCTAAGGGGTCCTGAGGGCCAGGAGGAAGGGAGCTGCCAACAGCTGGGTGATAGCTGGGTGGAGAGGTAGCTGAGAGATGCTGTAGGCCCAGTGCCACCCACTGGACCTCACCTGGTCCAGCAAGATGAGCAAGTGTCAGCTAGCCAGAGTGCTGCTTCTGAAAGAGGGTTGAAGCAAGACAGCTGATGACAGGTGACAGGGATCTCTGGGAGGCTGGCAGGGAGGAGAAGGAGCCATGCTGCCTGGTACCTGAGTTAAGGGCTATTGCCCACACTGTCTCTGGCACGGAAAAGAGGTTTCTGTTGATGGGTCTGTTTCATGAGGTTAAGTATGATGCCTACTGGGCACAGTGACAGCCACTGTTCACAGACAGCCAGACAGAGGGGAGGGACTGAGGATCTGGACAGAGCCAGGGGGTGAGTAGTCAGGTAGGCCTTGCTGTCCTCCTTGTCTGGGAAGCTGGTGCCATCTAGTGGTCAAAATAAGGACATGTCTCTTGCAGAGGCAGAGCCATGGGTCCCAGGACAAATCCTGTCTTGTAAGTTAGGAGCTGTATCAGCAGTAAATATTCTCCTTCACCACCATCTCCCATTACCCTTTGGCTTTCACATCCTTCTCTGTCCACCTATCTTTGTTCAGCCAGTGGCTCCTTCCCTTGGATTTCTTATTCGCAAGTCAAAAAGCAGACTGCTTATTCTTTCATAGTCTTATCCCAGCTGCATCTTTGCCTCTACATGTACCATCCTCTGTCCTGGATGCTGAGTGTGCTCAGATCAAGACAGATAAGAAGCCTCTCTCCATGGAGTCCAAGTTGCATTGGAGGAAGTGGTAACATCTGAGGACCAGTTTCTCTGCTGTGATGGTTAATGGTAGAGGGTAGTTCACACTGCAGTAACAGTCAGAGGGGCTGAAATGAAGAGAAGGGGGTTCCAGGTGTTGCACAAAGACTCATGGAGCTGCATAGAGCATGATATGGGGTGCGAGTGGTGAGGGGGCCCCACCAGTGAGGCAGGAATGGAGTCGAGGACCCGGAACTCAGCCCTGGAAGCCTGGAGTAGGGCCACAGACTTTGTTCACAGGTTTCAGGGAACCACTGAAAGTTGTTTTTTTTTTTAAATTTAGTTTATCTCATGTGTGTGTACCTGAGTGTATGTATGTATACCATGTGCATGCAGGTAGTTGTGAGCCACCATTTGGGAGCTGAGAACCAAACCCAGATTCTTTGGAACTGCAGCAACTGCTCTTAACCAGAGTCATCTCTCCAGCCGCCCATTGAAGGATTTTAACCAGGAAAGGGACAGGATAGGATTTCATTCTGGAAGCATCTTTGGCTGTTGTGTGGACACACAGTTCACAAGACTGAAGGCTAGAGGCCACTGCACAAGCTCAAACAAGAAGGAGATACGGCCTGGATTAAGGAAGAGGCAGTGAGGTAGAGAGAAAGACAAAGGCCTCAGGACTTGGAGATAGATTAGGTATGAGTGGTTGTGGGGGAAGAAATGGGGAAACAACTCCCAAGCTTCTGGTATGGACAGTTGAGTCAAAAGTTGGAGCCATTCTCTGAAAGAGAACACCAGGAAGAGGGGATGCAGCATGAGGAAGAGGGTACCCCTAGTTTTGCCTTGTGTTTTAACTTCTCCTGGGAGGATAACATACCTGCAAAAAAGTGTGTATCCTAATCAATTTGTGTGAATTTGCATAAATCAGACAGAGCTGTGTACCTAGCAGCCAAGCTGAGTGCCAGGCCGAGAAGCAACACTCCCAGTACTCAGAAACCCCGAGGATGGGGATTGGAGAGATGGCTCCGCAGTTAAGAGCACTGGCTGCTCTTGCAGAGGACCCAGGTTTGGTTCCTAGTATTCACATGGCTCCTAACAACTATTTGTAACTCCAGTTCCAGGGGATCTGATACCCTCTTCTGACCTCCTTGGCATTGCACAACACAGGTGCACCTACATACATGCAGGCAGTACACTCATACATAAAATAAAAATAAAATATTTTTAAAAAGAAACCCTGAAAATAAACGTCATCTTGATCTATGTTGATTGGATATACAGATTAGATTCTCTTCTTCTTCGTCCTCTTCTTCCTCCTCCTCCTCCTCCTCCTCCTCCTCCTCTTCATTTGCAATGCTGGGAATGGAACCCAGGGCCTCATGCTGTACCACTGAGCTATCCTCACTCACCCTATCTGATTTCTTTTATTCAACACTGTGTTATGAGAGTTATCCATGTTGTGGGGTATATTGGTAAATTGTCCATTTTCATGGCACTGTGTGAGCATCCTGCCATGAACAATACATTGCTCTGCATTTGTTTGCTTTACTGATGATGGGTACTTCCCATCTGGGGCTGTCCTGAGCAGTTCTGTGAGGCACATTCTTGCACCCACCTTTTGGTGCACCTGTGTGTTGTGTG